GGAATTCGTTTGCAGTCTCGACTGCTATTTGGATTATAACCTTCATGTCGTGAAAAGAGATTTCGGCTTTCCGGCCGAGGGAACCCGATTTTGAGGTATCTGCTTGTATTGAATCAGTGCATCATCCGATCGAACGTTGTTCGTCGGTTTGTTCGTGCTGTTCTTTTCCGGAAATCAGTCGGCCAATTGGCAAAGTTTAGCAAGACAAACGTAGGATGTCAGTAAGATAGTGATGTCTGTTGGGCAACACATTTTCCCACACACTATGTCGCTTTCAAAAGCAACTTATACCTAAAAGTCGTTAATAAGATGTCGGATTCGCTTTCCGCTGCCACCAGTGTAGCGTCCTCAGGCTTCCAATGAGGCAGTAGAAGGCATAAGTGGAGTTGAATGCATGTATTCCGATAACAATAGGAGAAATGGGGCCTGAGCCTGGCCCTAAGGCCAGCCCACGTGTACAGGACCCAGACAAGTTCTAATGTATCCGCCAAACATCAGATAGTCACATAAACAAAGCATTACAGACACTAAGGACCTCCTTACATATGGGCCTGTGTCTGATCCGGTTTCTTCCCTAATGCATCTGTCCTAGACCAGAGTATTATGGTCTAGTCCTGGAGGTAATTTATGTTAAGCCGATGTAGTTGTTCTGCAATTCTGGCACCTGAGGTCAAAAGTAATTCCAGGTCCAGCTGTAGGCTCTGTGGAGACTAATTACCGTTCTTCAGTCTCATGGTAGCTTTTGACTGATGCGGATGTCTCGTGGGTGTTTTCTTACAATAGCAATGGATAGGTTGAGGTGACTATGGCGGGAATTGCACCAAGGGGCCGTAGAAGGATTCTCTCAAACGAAGAGAGGGATGGTGTAATACCTTGTTTATGTGACCACCTGATGTCTGGCTGTTACTTGGGTATTCGTTTGGCCCTTGTACGCGTAGGCTGGTCTTAGGGCCAAACTAAGGCTTAATCCCTTTGTTCTCCCTGGAATATATGTATTCAGCCCCACTTAATGCCTTCTTCTACCAGGTCTGAAGTCCCAGAACACTACAGACAACTTTCTAGTCTCGTAAGTCTAAGCATTCCAACAGTCTGAAGTTAAGGGTTAATAAACAAACAGAAAAATGAATTTTAGTTCGTTACCAGTTCACTCCAGATACGCTCATTTTTCTGGGAATTTGTGGAAAAGGCCCAGTCACAAGTATCGCTTTGGCCTCAAAATGGCATAAAAACATAAGCGTGATATATACGTATTCCCACATTTTAGGTGTGGACCGTGTATCTGCGCTATGCGAGCAAATATTTTACATCTTCTTGCTACAATCTGCTTCTGCTGCTTCACATTAGGGATAAAACCGAATATTTCATTAAGCCTTTTACTTTTATCCAAATATGCATCATTTTAAGGATCTGTAACTGATGGCAAAAACCACCACATTGCTTATGTTCCAACAATGCTGCTGGAACACGGTTACAAGAGGTATAAACATTATCTAGGTCCTTCCGCGATTGCTCTGCATAGGTAGCAGCATTTTTGTGATAAAAATCAAAGCCCATTCAGGAGTCCCATTTTTAGCAAAACTTGCTATAAATAAAGACAACTGTTCTTGGCCAACTATTGAGCTGGTTGTCGAGATTTAATTCGATAGCTGCTTTGTTTCACTTATTTAAATGCAAAATAAGATTGATAGGGTATAAACAACCAAAATAAAACGGTGCAACGTTCTGAGACTTACAAGTAGGTATTAGAAGGCATGAGAGAATGGAGGGAGAAGTGGTGGGGATGAACCTCGGTTTGGTTCAAGGGGTAGTCCACATGGATGAATAATTTTAGTAATCGCCAGCCAGAAAGGTATTCAAGATAACCAAGAGAGTACAATTACGGTAACCCTTGCCCATCTGTTTTGGTTTTAATTCTTGGTTCCCCAAATTGCTTTATTTCCACACACACTCAAGCAACTACTCAGCCTCTGCCGTACTGACTTTCCGCTCTTTATTTATTGAGAGCATCCAAGTTGAGGGTGAGCCATTTACTTAACAGCTGAGCTGTTCGCAAGTTTTGACTAAATGAGCCTAATTATGAGCACAGTCAAGAACGTCCCTGCCTACTCTCAGACCCTTGAACCTCTGGATTCATAAGGGAATGGGTTGGGGAGGGTTTAAGTAACAGCTTGTACCGAATAGGTAAAAGGGGTTTTGTGCTGTAATTAGCCGATGTCAACCTGTGGATGTCTCTATTTTCCTCACGGGCGGGATTCGTGTTCAAATTACTTAATTGCCTCTCCCCTATAAAGACAACTTAAACACATTCGTATGTATTACGCGCAGCATGTAGCACAAGGCAGCGATGGAAGCAAGTATTACTTTATCATTATCAAATCACAGTATTCTTTGAAGTCCTTGAAAACTTGTGAGGAAATACCGAAGGTCAATGAGGCAGTAGAGCGTGGGGCTATGGATTTACAAATAAGAGGCAGTTGGCTTAATGAAGCTGTAATAGTGGAGATCCTAACCCACCCGATCCCAAACCATGGGGTCAATTAACAACAAGCTAGAAGCATAGTACTCCTTAATTTTGGACATTTCAACCTTCCATCCAAGTTTTAATATATCCTAAAGTGTTTGAGTGGACCTTTATAGTGGAAAGGCGGGAGAGGAATCCCTCTCCGGGTGATCACTGGTATTCGGCTCATCTGTACAACTATCCCTTTTCTTCCTCTATTCACTGTCAAATAAATCTACTGCAATCAACCCTCTCTTATAGTCCAAGGTTCAATCACATGAGGGTAGGCAGACAGTCCCCACACCAGTCATCATAAAGTAACTAATACTGCAAAGATTCGCCTGCTACTTTGTCAATTTCCCTCTGAATCGGACTTGGATCTTGGTGTTAATCCCGCATCGGGACTGCATTTAGTCGGATGAATGCTGGTCACATTGACGAGTCATCTAAGGGTGAGAAGGAGGAGTCCTTTTCCTTCCTTTAGAACTCTGCTAGCAGAGGAAGTTGTAAATCACAATTGCCGTGGACAGCATCTAGCATAGCTCAAGGATCGTTAGATATTAAAATCATAATAATAGGGCCTCTATGACTCATTGTCAACTTAAAATATTAAACAAGTCTTTTATTCATTAATTATACAGCTATTT